AAACACAAAATGATGGACATACATGAAAAAGTTTAGCATCTTAAATGTGAACAGATCCATTTGCCACTAAATTAAACCGGACTGAACATGATCATTTAGCAGCCTCTCACATCTCCGCTTAGGGATCAGATTACTCGTCGGTCTGCACAAACTCGTGGATATCCCATAATGCTCTCTTATAACTGACACTAGTAAGAAAACAAACAAATAATTGTTTTAAAACCTCAGCAAGGTGAACCTCCTCAACCTGGCTTGTTGGGACCTTTAAACCAGTGACCACAGACCACAGGAACCCTGTAACACAGTGTGCCGACTGAAATATGAGGACGCCATCTGTGCTCGGCGCTCTACAGAAAAACTGCTGCAAACTTTCCCACATGATGGAACCGAGCAACACGCAGAAGAGGAAAGCAGAGAAGGATGTGGAGAATAACAGGGGTTGGTCGGTTGAACATTTGCTTTGGCCGCTCCGGAACAGAGGGGCGGCGCTCTGCTGGTCCCTTGACATACATCCAGAGGAGCCCCTCTGTCTTCACCATAAATCTGAATGGACTGGGAGTTATCATGCTTTTCCCCCAGCCGTCCCCTCCTGGACTAAACCCCACATTCCTCCCAAACAGCACTTCATACAAACAAAGTAGCCCGTTCCCACTGCTCCAACTTTGGGAAAGGCGATGGTTTGTCATGGAAAAAATCCCGAGGCATCTCAAGAGTCCTTTAGAAGTTTTTTTCTTTTAATTTCCCCCCACACAAAGATCAGCAACGCATCAACACTTAGCTCAGTCACGGCCGTCCCAGGAACAGACCTGCAGGACTTCATCTACACAAAACACGAGAACACACCAAACGCAGAAAGGTTGAACCCAAATCTAGAATTAAGGCCCCAAACTTTGCACACATTCACACACATGCAGGCTTAAACTGGGGCTTAAATTTGGAGACCAGTCGCTATAGAAAACCCTGGAAACGCATTCCACAGCTGCCTCCTCCCTCAAAGGGAGTCTTTTGTGCTCAGTGAAAGAAAGTGAGGTTACAAGGTTTCTCCCTTTAGGGGACAGAGAATAATACTCGCTCTCAAGACAATGACCTCATCCCAAGTCTCTTTATGCATTTCTGTGTGTCTGCTCAGTTCGAGGTGTGTGTGTGTGTGTGTGTGTGTGTGTGTGTGTGTGTGTGTGTGTGTGTGTGTGTGTGTGTGTGTGTGTGTGTGTGTGTGTGTGTGTTCGACAATGTCAGTGAGGAGGAAGAAGGGGAAGCAGGAAAGGTTCGGTCAAGGATGGATTATGAAGGAAAGTGGGAGGAGCTGCAGGAGTCCTCGGGAGAGAGGTATTTCTCTCAACAGTCTGATTGGCCTCTTCAGCATCTGCCCTGTATGAAACTGTCTGTACATGACACTGGTGAGAGTCGGTGGTAATGCAAAACCCACACAAGCAGGAGGGAGCGGTGGGCTTCAACAGGAAATTCCTCTACAGTCTTTCTGCTGACTAAGGCCTCCGAGTGGGAACAGCGAGAGGAGGAATGTAACATATATGGTGTCTGTTATTTGGGGTCCACTTAGGGCAGCATGTGTGCAAACCATTAGCATCTGGACGAAAGAGAAGCACTTTAATAGAACAAAAAGCACATTAAAGCCACAGTGAGCAACATGCATGCTTCAAACGACTGAACGAGGATGAAACCTTTCATTTCTTGATTGTGGGACCTTTTTAACAAAGAGACAATCGGGATTTCGTCTTAATTTCTAATATCTAAAGGTGTGTTTGTCATGACATTAGCAGAAAAGGGTGATGATGGAGCATCTCCCGGTGTTTTACCATCAGCATCCGTACCCTTCCTCTTGAAAACAACAAAAGTAACCACACCCACCATATTCTGTTGTGTGGGGGGGAAACCGCCCAGACAGTAGCCATCTTTACAGCAGCATCCATGTTGCAGAGAGGCAGTGTGCTGCACAGGTGTCCCTCCACTGACCTACATTCACCAGTCTGATACCACAGGAGCAAACCACCCCAACATGTTTCACCAGGGCAACAAGTGCATGAGGGGACTTCATTAGAGCTTGCGGAGGTGGAACATCCACAAAAATGTTAATATTTGTAGGGTTAATAAAAAATAGTGAGACACGTGGCTCATTCAAGCCTGAGATGGATGCTGCAGCAGAAAGAAAAAGGAGTGGCAGTTTGTGACCGAGGACCAAATGGAGCAACAGCACCTCCTGGTGGTGGGTGTAGTCATCACAAATAAATAATAAAATCCTTTACTGGTTTGGGTTTTATCAAAAACCGAGACTGGTGCTTTTACTGGAGGTGTTTTAGTACGGGACCACCAGTTTTTAGCAGTAGCAGGAAAACTAACCATAAAATAGTTTAGGCATTTTCTTAAAGGTGTGGATGACAGAAAAAGAACACATTTTAACAATAATTTCTGATTATAATTGGTCACGCTGTGCTTTTCAACCTGCCTAGACATGAAAATAGTCTCCTACACCTATCTCCTGCATTAGCTTCTGATAGAAAATAAGACGGTGAAACTTTAGTTTATGTTACTCAACGTTCATGGACTCACGACGGGGAAGGCTGCTGTTGGTTTATTGTCCAGGAAACAGCAGACGTCTCTGCTAGTAGAAGCTAACCTTTACCAACTCCACCACACAGCAGAACTCCTTCAGATTTGTGGAGATAAAACATTAACGTTGCAGAGAAAACAGTGTCAGAGGTGGTCGTGTTGCTGTTAGCCAATCCAAGGGGAGATGTCCAAATATCAGGAAAAAGGAATCCAGATCCTGCCGTCTGAAGCTACTCTCTCCTCCATCTGACTTCCTGACGCAGGCGCATCTGAGCTGTCTCATTGTTGTGGCCCAACAGGACGTTTAACTTGATTTTGGACACCCCCGCTTTACTGTATTTATTACACCTGCCCCAAAACAAATAAACAATAAAAGAAATTAAATCTTGGGAGATTTGAGCTTTTTTAAGGAGGCCGGAAACACATTATGATCTCAGCTGAGCTGAAATTAGCCGTTAGCTCTTAGCATAAATTCTATTTCTCAGATCAGAGCATAAAGAGCAAGTCACCCCCAAATAAACTTTTTTTCAGATAAACTATATAAATGCGTGTCTAAGTGTGCTGCAGACACGTGTAGTCAATAGTTTTACACTTTAGTGCATTTAAGTTAAAATTTAAATTTTCTGACTAAAACTGTCAGTGTTGTGCCGTTGTCAGGTAAAAACTCTGCACTGCATTTGAATTTAAATCTGCCATCGCTATTGGCTAAGAGGTAACCTAGAACGTTAGCTGGTACCATATGATGTCACAATGTCGTTGTGAGCCTGTCGCTGTGTCTCAATTCAGGGTCTGCATCCTTCGAAGGACCCAGCCTACTCGGCCGACGTGGGCTGGGTCCTCCATCGGCCGAGTAGACCGGATGTTAACGGCTGTGAATTTGGACAGGCCTATCCTTCGAGAATTCCCGCCACTCCCTCGGTGAACGTTCCGTCGCCTAGCAACTGTGGAACCGCTGAGCAGAAGGCAGAAGGAACTTTAAACGATGGAGCTCGAAGTTTTATTTAGATTTTTAATCATTTCCTTGACTGTTGGAGAGCTACTTCAGAGAAAATACTTTCGACAAGCTGAGCCTGAGCAAAGATGTGATAATAGTTTTTAATACTTTCTAACGGTCTTAATTTGACCAAAACCGATTTATCGCCTTTTAAGACTTTAAGACCCAGCGGATACCCTCTAGTAAACAATTCACATTTGTAAACCAAAATAAAATTCAAGAGTTTAATACAGAAATGATTTTATTTAGATATTTCTTTTATATGTACGTTTAAAATCTTTCTTAACCATTTTTTCTAGCAAGCCTGTCAAAGTTCTCCCTTCTCTCCTGTGCCCTCTGCTGCTCTGCCTCCCTCTGCAGCCTCATGTCCTCCCTGATCAGCCCCAGAAGCTGGTCATCGCTGTCACCTTCTCCTGGATGCCCATTTTCTCCAGAATAGTCTTAACAAACATGTAAGAAAAAACAACAGGAAGAGAAAAGAGGAGAACGGGTTATTCCTTTCACGTTTTCGCAGAAAAAACTAAACTTCAAATATGAGATATTATTGTACCTCCATGCCACAGCCTCCGAATGTTTAGCTCCAGTGAACATGTGGTCCATCTCCGCCCTAAGCTAAATAAAGTCAGTGGTTTTATCTTTTGTCCCTAAAATACAAACTTCTATTAAAATCAGGGGAAACATAGCGGGAGAAGTACGACACCGAGCGGCCGAACATGTGAGCCGAGACCGCAACACAAGCACTTTTACTGTAACATTTCAAACAAAAATAACGTTCATGTATCACAAAAAGCCCTTAACCTAACAGTTTTCAAGTTTATACTGACATTTATATGCGCAATCCTCTCCAACAGCTCCCGATTCACTGTCCACCATTGTTTTTAAAAGTTCTGCCGTCCGGCCCGCAAGGCATCTTGGGAAATGTAAACCATTGAAGGATACACCGGACCCATCCTTCATTCAGGCGGAAAGAAGGCCGGATTCGTCGACCGCATTTGAAGGAGTCTTCGAATTGGGACAGGCCTAGTCGCGGCGCTGTGACGTAACCGGCCGACCAAGGATGCAGACCCTGAATTGAGACACAGCCTCTGTGTGTGTGTGTGTATTTGTTAGAGGCTCCGCCTTCTCGGTCTGCTAGGCAACAGCATTTGTTGCATTTTTCAAACAGGAAGTGGGAGTGGAGTAAGAATCTGGTAGTTGCTCTTTAATAAAGCTACAGGTTTCCTCTTTCATGAATTATGTGTGATTTGTTTAATCTGTAAACGTGACAGTCTAATAATAAATAAACTGCAGGTTTTAGCTTTAAGCAAGCCACTTTTAACCTTTACACAAAAACACTTCCTTACTAGAAAACAGCTAAAAATGTGGTTTGTGACAGGCTCAGTGTGCTTTTACTGGTTCCCATCCAGGATGACGCTGAATTTAATGCAAAACACAAATGCGGTCAGCGTGAATGTTTTAATGATTATGATCATTTGAGAAATATAGTGACACACTCGACATTAAAATAAAAATATCGGACAGCTTTAGGGTGTAGAAGCTGTGTTTAGCTCGACGTGTGAAACAGAAGGAAATACGCAGCAAAAAATTACAAACATGCAACACGTCGTCTGAACCTGAAGAACCAGAAACATACAACTCAACAGCAATCATCTGCACAATGCTTTGCATAACGTTATTGCACAGACATGCAATCAAAAGCAGGTCATTACAAGAATTTAGCATTTCTTTGAGTATAAATATGACACCTGCAGGCTGAAGTTTCTCAGAGACAGGACAGGACTTGGCACACTATTAATTAAAACTGCTCTAACTGACAGAGACACCTAAAATGTCACAGTTTTGTCATTTCTCTAAAACAAGAGACGCTACTCTCACGTTTAAGCTCAAGGATCGGACACCAGCTTGAACTCTTCATGAATCAAACGTGACCTCTCAAAAGTCCCTCATCCGAAACGAGACGCCACCCTTTTGGTCTACGGGCACTTGTTGTCACACTGCTGTTTTAAAAGGCCTTCTAGAGTTCAGAGGAATCCGAAATGAAAAGTGCGCCGTGAATAAAGGCCAGAACGTATTTGCCCTCACTCTGAAGATTCGTGATAAAGATGAGACCTGAAGACGAGAGGGGAAAGGACACAGGAAAGCCACTCCCATCTTCAGAAAAAGGACAAGCAGCATTACAGTTTACGGCGAATCTGCAGCTCAAAGTTAAGTCATCAACCTCATACATTTGCAACCTCTGACGTATTTATTAACATGAGAATAAAAAGAAAAGGAAAATGAAATCGGCTCCTCTCCTGCAGCACATTCTGACTCGCGTCCTTCAGCTTCCCGCCAGACGGACTGCTACCTGCCGTCTACTAGTGATAACCGTTTCCCTCTCCGGGTTTCTGTGCCGACCCGACAGCTGCTGAAGCAGAACGATTCCTGCTGCCTTGGTCGTGCCGGTTAACCAACAAGGTCTGAAACAGCCAGAAAACCCCCCCCACTGACAATCATGACATGAGTGGACAAAGAGTTAAAACACGAGAAGCGTGGCTCATCTGCCGAGAACTAGCTTTAATAGCAAGAGAGAGTTAGTTTGTGAAGCTCTCAGTCCCAGTTCTCCCAGTCCTCGTCCAGCTGGTGAAGGAAAGACAAAGTTACTAAACCAGTCCTGAAGTCACAGAACATCCAGCCGTCTGATAAACACCAACCTCTCCAGAATCGTCTATTTTAGAGAGCGCCATCTGGACCTCTTCTTCTGTCATGTCCAGGTCGAAGTCTTTCTCCCAGTCCTCACTCACGTCCGTACTGGACCCTGGGGGAAGGAAACATGGAGATTTGTGTGTTCTCATCCTTATTTTAGCAGAGAGACTGAAACACCTTGTGGTTTTGTACCTTTCTTGCCGTTGTTAGAGGGCGTTGACTTCCCGCTGTCAGAGTTGAGCTCAAACACTCTCAGATCCTGCGGGCCTTCTTCTTTTACGCTCTCTGGTTGTTTAGGGGCGGCGACTCGCAGCGACGCCCCCGCTGGTGGGACGTCTCTCTGTGTTGCAGCTTCCACTTGAGCTTCGGGAGGTAAGTCACTCTTTTTGGGACGCGGCTCGCCTTTATCCATGGCAACATCCTCCAAGGTTGCTTCCGTTAGTTTGTGGGCAAGCTCGACAGCAGCGGGCGGAGGCTGCATTTCCACCTGCGTCGGCAGGCTGACGCTGTCGCTGCTGACCGAGAGGGTGGCGTCGCGCTCCTCATTTGGAGACGGAACGGGGCTCAGCAGGGTGACCTCTGTTGGAGCTGTGGAGCTGCTGTTCGGTGGGGGCGTGATGCTCAGCTGAGACGACGATGTGGCACCGAGGAAGTCATCTGGAAGAAACAGCAGAAAGGTAAGAGACGGTTTAAAGGTCGACTGGTTTAAAGAGCTGTTACCGTACCCTCCTCTTCCTCCTCCCAGCCCAGACTCTCTATGTGTGCACTCTGCTCCGCCCTCTGCTTCAGGGCCACTCTCCTCGCCTCCTCCTGTAAACACCATAGAAAAACGCTCCTTTTACTCTCTGGAAATGTGAAAATGCACATTCTGACTGAGATTCTCTTGAAGGAATCACTGAAAACTAAACATGTGCAATTTGTGCTTCAAATTCAAAAATACTTTATTAGTCCCAGAGGGAAATTGATTGCTGTAGTAGCTCAGAATAATAATAATAATAATCAAGTCATCAAAGAGTTGTTGTATATTACAATGGCTGTTGGCAGGAAGGATCTCCAGTAGCGGTCAGTGTTGCAGCCAAACTGAAGAAGCCTCTGACTGAAGACACTCTTCTGTTGTCGGACAGTCTTGTGAAGAGAACGCTCAGGGTTGTCCATCATTTTCTTGATTCTCTGGAGAATCCTTCTTTGCATTATCTACACCAGCGGTTCCAAAACTGCCGAAATTCTGGTTTGAATTTCCTCTTTATCCGTTTTGCTCCCGCTCTGCACCCACGCTTCTTGCGTTTTAGCTCATTTGGGATTTGTGGCTTCAGTTGAGGTATTATTTCAGCCTTTCCAATGTTAATCAGCTACTCCCAATTGTAAACAGCTTGTTGCCATGGTTACGCATCATAACAAATGCTCAAAAAGTGAAAAAAGCTAAAAAAAAAAATAGCAGTAAAAATCCTCCAAGCTTCACGGCTGCAGCTGAAACGGTTTCAGACTTCACTAGCCATCCTTCCTGCACCCATTCATTCCTGCATTTGCAGTTTTCTCATGTTTCCCATTCCCTGTAAATACCCCATTTTTCTGCCACATATTTTAGATTTTATATCTTAAAATAAGTTTATATTCAATATTTGAATTTTTGAATCTTTGATTATTTTGAAGTTGAAATGTTTCTGCATAATCTTTTCTTGTTTACTTATTTTTTTAACCACTTTCTATTTTCTACATTGTGACATGTGGAATGACAATTATAAACAAAATCACTGTTCCTTTTGTACTCCTCTCTATACAGCCCACTTGTGGTGCAACTATAGTAAGGTAGTAATGAAGAAGCTTCAAGTGGCTTATCAGGATGCTTTTAGAATCCTCATGAAGCTCTCTAGATGGACTTCGGCAAGTCATATGTTTGTTGTGAGTAACATCCCTACTTTTCATGTGCTTCTGAGGCTCTTCATGTACAAATTCATCTGCCGACTGAGTTTGTCAGCTAACGTTGTTGTTAGAGCGCTGTCATCTTTATCTTACAGTGACACGAGGTACTCCTCAGTCCTTTTTAAACATTGGAACAACTGCCTATATGGTTTGTAATTAGAATGTGTTTGTATTTTTATTTTATTCTTGTTATGGACATATCCCTTGTCTGAAATAAAGTTTGATTGATAAGTATTAGTTAAAGAGCAAGTCACCCCCTACCAGAGTCCTACTCCACTCCCACTTCATATATGAAAAATGCAACAAATGCTGTTGCCAGGCAGACCAACAGGGCGGAGCCACTAACAACACACACACACACACACACACACACACACACACACACACACACACACACACACACACACACACACACACACACACACACACACACAGACTCACAATGGCATTAATACATCATAATGTACCAGCTAACTTCATAGTGTACCTCTTAGCCAATAGGGATGGCAGATTTAAATTCAAATGCAGTGCAGAGTTTTTACCTGACGACAGCGCAACACTGACAGTTTTAGGCAGTTTATTCAAATTTTAACCAAAATACACTAAAGTGCCAAATTATTGATGACATGTGTCTACAGCACGATTAAACACTCATTTATATAGGTTATCAGCAAAAAACGTAGATTTGGGGGTGACTTGCTCTTTAAATACGGATTTGCAATTAAAATATAGTAAAAATCTCTCACTGATCAGATGCAAATGTTAGGGTTAGGGTCACTTAAATCATGAACATTGAACTACAGTTTACCAAGAGTTAAATAAAAACAAGTATCATTTATCACCTTTTTGATTACCGCCATACTCGGCTTACTTGTAAATACAATCCTGGCCAGCAGGTGGCGCCCACCCAACATGCAGATTTTAACCAGCATGTCCGCCTCTAGATAAACTGTACCTGGTTCAGCTGGAAGACTTTGTAAAAGTACCTCTGCCAGAATTCTGAATGAGAAACAGCAGCCGGCACCTGCAGGAAACAGAGCAAACCGTCCAAACTGAAGAAACGTTCATGCAGATCAAACCACAGGGAAGAACATCAGGAGATACCATTTTGGTGTAAAGCGATCGTATAGACGGACTGTTGACCAGGAGCTCTGAGATTTCTCCTTTTTTATCTTCCAGACTAAAACCAGACAGCCAGTTGTCGAACTGCTCAGGAGGACCTAAGAGTTCAGAACGTGTTCAGAAAACAGAAATCCCAACAAAATCCAATCATCTCTTGCATTTATGTTGTGATATTGAGACAAATTTCTAATGAGACGATAAATCAATCAACTTGATAAAAATATTAAAGGGATGCCTTACAAACAAAACACTGCATTAAGTTTAACATTAGAAGAGAAGTCGTTTGAGTGTTCTCACCATCAGGCTCATTACAGTATGTAGCAGGGTCCGCTTGCAAACCATAGAGCCGTGCCTGCAGAGTTAAATAGTTGCAGTTTTTATATAAATGATGTTTAAACTTTTAATTTTAGATCACGTCTGGACCAAATGACCGAGACAATCTGAAGAAAACCACCGTCAACCTAAAAAATCCCTTCAGAACCAGTAAAACGTCACGACTCTGATGAGTTTGTTTACTCTGAATATGACCAACTGATCCACACGTGTCAACAGAGACTGTTAGCTATGGCAAAAGTTTAAAAAGTGGCTGATCTCCTACAAAAACCTGCCAGGGCAAGGCTTTAGGAGGCTTCATATCTTTTTATTGGCCTCTGTTTCACTGAACTCTTGCTGAGCGCACTATGATGTCATACCCGAGCAGAAATGAAAAGAAAATACAAGTAAAGATAAAAACACGAGCCTTAAGGGCATCATTTCTTTGCTGTAGCAGCACATTAACTCTTGAACTAGTTTTACAGCTTTCCTGCTGAAAACGAAAGCTACAATTCTGCGTGTGGACAGTTAGAATCAGTTGCCAAACAGCTCAAGACAAATAAACACAGGATCTCAAAGGTACAATAATATAAAATAAAGTGATGTTGCTTTCGTGTGATTTCTTATTCTGTAGCTTAGCAGACTTGTCAGTCATTAAGACGTTTTTAAGACGTCTCTAAATGATAAATTTCAGCTATTTTGTCCCCACCTTAGAGCTGTCGTAGACCTCTGTGGTTCCTGCTGGTGTTGCCACTAATGTGATAACATCACAATCGATAGTTTTATCTGGAGGCGGTGCGAGAGTGTCTGTTATCACTCCCAAGAAACTAGAAAGGCTCTTTTTCACCTTTTCTGTCGTCTCAGACGACCCCTCCACCTGCAAACGAGAAGAAATATGAACAAGAGTCCCAATAAACTGAGTGAATCAACATTGGAGAGGCTATGCGGGAGAGATTTAATCAACAGTAACTTTAGCTTGAGACTTACAGCGAGTTTGTTCTTGACAGCATTGGCTGTAGCCACGATTGAGCAGGCCGTGTCATGCTGCACCACGGTGGAGAACTCCGTCAGGTCTCGTTTTAGGAACTCCAAGGCCTCAGAAGACTGTAGGGCGGAGAGTTGGATAAGGCAGATCAAACATCTGATAAGATCTTTATTACCTCAATAAGGAAATGATTGTTTCAGACAAAGACAGTCAAAAAATGGAGAATTTGAGTGGGTGCCAAACTGTGACAACTTTTCTTTTTAGTCTAACTTGTGAGGAAGACAAAAAGACAACCAGTAAGAAAGGTTATAAAACTGGATCTGAACTTATCTAACAGTTTTCAATAATTAATAAAATACAGCTCGTTAATTAGCATTAAATAAACTGTTGTATTGAAAATAATTTAATTAGGTGATTTATGAGTTACCAATTATATTTTTGTTTACATAATCTGACATCAACACTAACAACATGCGTTTGTTTCTGTCTCTTTTATTTCCTGTTTGGGGTTTTATCCAGAAATAAGTACCGATTACTTTGTAGGGATTACCTTGTCTTTGACGGCCTGAAAGCTCTGATGAAACCAGCCTCCCCACCAGCCGTCTCTGTGTTCAACAGACATTAAAACACAAGACAGACACCAAGGTTGTGCTCTAGTGAGACGTGTTGACCCAAACTGTTGACATTCTCAGCGTTTCTGATTATCGCACAGCCGAGCGAGATAGCGTGTTAGCTAACGTCAGCTGGTCCCATTACCGAAATAGAAAAAGTCATAAACGACAAATAATGAAGCTTAACGTGAAAACTACAAACACACAAAACTTGTGTGTTGTTACTTCTGGGTTTAAAGAGGCTGAACAGAGCTAAACGAGCTAGCTTATTGATACCAAGGCTCTGTTTTTGTAAACAAATCCACTTCCTGAACTCGTTCCGAGAGATGCGGAGCACTGCAGTTACAACAAAACTACCCCACAAAGAGTCACCAGATGCGAAAAATCATCACAAACACGTTTTATGTTGGGAATCACTGTTGTTTCAAAGATTAAAATGAAAAAAATATTTATCTCTCACCCTTCAGCCATCTTCACACGATGACATCATCTGTATTTGATGAACTAGCTTCTTCTTCGCTGATTTAATGAGAGTAGACGAGTCACTTTGATTGCACTAGCGCTATCAACAGGGCTGGAGGGAAAGGCCGAATTTTAAAACAAGTTATTTCTGAATATTTTGTTATTTTGAGTTTTTTGTGTCAAGTATTTCCTAGAACATTCAAAGCAACAAAGCTTTTTGTTCTAAATTCCCAATTCCCTGTGGAAAACAAACAAACAAAATACCAATATTTAACTTTCTTTCTTTCTTTCTTTCTTTCTTTCTTTCTGATGTTGTACTTCCACAGAATTCTCTAACATTTCAACCTTTTACTTTCATATAACACCTTTGTGCCATAATACATTTAATTGAAAGAAAGGATGATGTCCGCCCTCTGCTGGCTAAAACTGGAACAACACTCTAGCCAGAAATAAAGGGACGATGGGGAGTATATTTTAGCCTCCTAAATGACGCATTTAATTTTTTTAACATTTCTTGTTGTCCTCTTAGAAATAATAATATTAGGGAGGAGAATGAGGAGGAGTAAAAGGAGAAGAGATTACTGGATTTATAAAGATGCAAGAGTTACTGGATAGACACTTTTTCTAAATGCTGTCAAAATAAAATACTGACATTTTGATGTTGGAAACAAAGAAATCTGCCAATTATTTGGATTTCTCAATTGACGCATAAACTACTGGAGAAGGTTCTCAGTCATCCAGGTCATGGTAATCCAAAGGGGCTGAAGTGAAGGCAACAGGACTTCTTTGGGTTTTTGAAGATGTTTTGCCTCTAATCAAAGGAGCTTTGTCAGTTTTGCCTGGAATATGTGAGAGTTCTTCTTCTTCTGCTTCTTAGTTTTGTCAAAAGCCTAATTAAACATCACAAACAAAGAATACGTAATTTAGCGATGACTGAAGCTTTAGAAACATTTGCATCAAGAAAAGTAGGACAGTATGAAACCTTCTCCAGAAAAGCTTAAGGATATGCAAATGTTTTGTTGTTTAATTACAACCAAATTAACCAAGAGGCTGTATATAAAACCAAGGAGATGTACCAAGACCAAAGCTTTTCTTCTTAAGTCATTATGTCCACTAATCAGCGTTTAGCAATTCCAGTCTGAATCCCATCATCAGCTTCCTCCTCCTCCTCCTCCTCTCTCTGTACATCTGTGGACGTGCATGTTGATATGTTGGATATGCATGTTGACCCCAAGCAGCTGTGTTTTCTCCTCATCAGTATTCTGGGTGGAAGAAGGAAGGGGGGAGGGGGGGAGGGGGGGCTTAATTGAGCACAAAATGAATAAAAACAGGCAACAAGCCTCTGGAAGTGTGTCCTCTCTTAATTGAAGTTCCCCTCTCTCCAGACGCTGCACAAAGCATGCGTATGTCCTCCAATATGTCTCCCCATCCAGCGCCTCAATCCACCTAATTGGGTCTTTCAGTCCTCTAATTAACTCTGTCAGTGCAGGTTGGGTCGAGCCAAGTTGGGAGAAAAAGTCGTCCATTGATCAGTTTCTGAAGCAGTTAGCATCCCCATCTGTCAACATGGGCTTGGGTGTTATTTGGACAAAAGACTAATGTGTAATTCTCTGTGTTGGTGAAGATTTCATTTTTAGGTAAATAAATGTAATAAATATATATATAAATTCAGACAAATCCCACTCGGAAGACGTTTAGACGTACATCCTTGGACGATTTGTGTTTTTGATCACATTTTCCAAACTTTTTTGTAACCAGCTCACACGATTGTACACTTTTCATTAAGTTGATCTGAAATAAGAAAAACGTTTAAATAATAAAATTCATAAAGTGAAGACTCCGACTTTAAACAGTTCCAGTTCAAACAGTATGTTTTGTTTTCTAATTGTCTAAATTCGATGGTAAAATTAACTTTTTTATCATACGAAACAAAGAATCCACTTCAACGCTGACATGGTGATACTCCTATAGGTGAACACTTGTCACATGATATCAAAAATGAATAAATATGTTCGGTTTGTTAATCGTTTCCATCTTCCTGACTCACGCCAGTGGTGCAGCTGCTGGTTAGCGTATGCTAACGACCACAGTGATGACAGCAGAGGCTGACCATAACGGTACAAGGAGGACATGCCCATCTTGTATGATTTAAGGAGCATATCCATTACACACCACAGTCATCACACACACCCACACACACACATGTGCAGACTCTCCAGACCGCTGATGCCACGTTGTGGATTAACGCCATCTGGTGCCAATCAGGAAACACCAGCTTTTGCACAAGTCACTGTCTCTAATTATCCACCTCGAGCAAAAGGAGGCCGATCCCCGCTAATCTCCTCAATGTGTTCTGCTTCCCATTCCCACCTGTGCCCCCCAATGGGGGAGGGGGGGACTGTGTCCAGGGACCAGGGACCAGGTGATGCTGCAGCACCGGTCCCCATGACAGAAGCTCCAGCGCCTGGTTTGGCTGGCAGCTGCCTCCCCCCACTGAGACGTCCCACAGCTGACAATTCCCCGGCGCTGACAGGAGCTCTTTACAGTGTCAATAGCCTCATATATTAGAGCTAACCGCCTTTGTGGTGAGCGAGGGTGTCAGGCCTTTTGGCCCGACAGCGCTTGTTACCATGATGAAATGTAGATTGAATGGAGGGGGTCTGTGTCCCAGGCACGAGAGCTTTGACTCCCCCTGCCTTTGTGTCCCACGCATGGCCATTGTTCGGACCCCTTCAGTGCTCCGACAAGGAGGAGGTGGGTGAGAATGAGTTACATCTCTTCATTCCGCCCCTGATCTCCGACTCATCTGTCAGCCGTGGGAGGATAAGCGTGTATTTTACACGCCTGATTTGTTGCTAAGTGAAGGCGGCCATAACTGGGTTGTTTGACTAAATCACGTTCGTGGTACTCAGTGGGTTTTGTTTACATAGTCGTGTTTTACGGCTTTTTGAGCATCTGTGGAAGAATTTGGCTTTTTTTCTCTAATGCAGTCAAGCATGAACTCAGAGTTTAGCTGATCTGTGGAAACACTCTTTTTATAAAAATGAAAACAGGCCCTCTCCTTTAATTCTGTCCTTTGTGTGCCTATCCATAATCATACGAGACAGTGACAAATGGCTGGCCTACAGCTGAGGACATGGTTGTGTCCCTCGCCCGCGTCCAACAAAAGTGACGCGCCGTCCTGGCGCCTGAGTCGTCCTTTCATCTCCTACACCCCGTTGAGGGGAAGATTGATGGTCCCTTGGCTCAAGAACGCCACATTCAGCTTCTGTCCTGCAGCATTGTCTCGCCCTCCTGTTCCTGTTTTAGGTCCTCAGAGGTCCGTGTGTCCAAAGCTGGTTAGCAACAAATGACACTTTCCTGCAAACACCCGTTTCAGGACACCTCCCTGGGCCCAACAGAGCTCTGATCAAACCTTCTGTTGTCAGAAACAGAATTTACACTCATGCAGACCCACTTTAGAGCTCTTTACTGTCTAATACCTTCTGCTTATTTAGCCACACTCAGGATAAATTGCCTCACAACCACATTTTAAAAAAGGACTACAAGAAACAATAAGCTTTAAAATGTATTTTAATGTATGAAAATAGAAATCCTGCACCAATTCAAACATCTGCTCTTAAAAACATCAGATAAATTACAGACTTTGCTGCTCCGATAAAAGAACATCCACGGTGCATTCAGAACGTTGTGTCAGAAAAGCAGATGAGACGCATAGCAGCAGTTCATATTCACACAATGTACAAGTTCGGCACCGGCCAGCGAGTCATTAGTCCTTTCACCTCTAGCAGGAATCCAAACAGCAGTCGTCAGTCAGTGTTGAGAGCGTTCTGCTCATTTGTTCATGGACAAGCTGTGTAATGTGGAGGTGGCCGTGGGCAGAGGCTGGCAGAGAGCACACGGGCAGGGCATCCCGGGGAAGTGCCTGTAGGAGCTGCCCAGGTGGAGCGGGTCCTTCAGAAGGCCCTGAACGGGAGCGTGGAAGCCCAGGAAGCTGGCTGATGGAGGGGAGTGCGGGGCTGGAGCTGAAGAGGGAGAAGAGGAGTGATGCTGCAGAGCTGTAGGCGTGCTGCCCACCAGGGAGTGCAGCGATTGAGCCAGAGGATGGAGAGGGAGGTGGGCTGATGTGGCTGCAGGAGTCATGCCGTGGTGGGCTGAGGAGCGGCTCTGGGCAACAGCGCTGCTGCTATAAACATCCCCAACCAGTTTCTTCATCTCCTCCAAGGAGCTGGACAGCATCAGGATGTAATTGCGAGCCAACAGCAAGGTGGAGATTTTTGAGAGTTTCCTCACAGACGGTCCGTGAGCGTACGGCATGACCTCCCTCAGGCCGTCCATCGCCTGGTTCAGGTCGTGCATCCTCTTCCGCTCTCGACTGTTGACTTTGAGCCTCAGGTCTTGCATCTCCTCCTTGCTGAGCTCAGACCTGCCTTTGGTCTTCCCTCCACTGCAGCACTCCATTCCACTTTCGCCGGCAGCGCCGCGTTGCCTGTTCTCCTGGCAGAATTTCTGGAACATCTTGTTGGAGAAGAAACCCCCAGCAGAGTCGTCAACCACCAGGTCTGGAGAGGAGGAGCGGCTGCAGATGGAGCTGGCGTCCGAATCCATCTTGGTAAAATAATTTAGGCAAAGTGCCCAAAAGCTGCAACAACTCAGAAGGCTCAAGACTAAACTCTGAGGTCTGGAAGTTTCCTAGAGAGGTCCGCGCTGCTCGGGCGGACGTCCACAGAAGTGAGAGTGGTTAAAATCTGTCACCCCTTGGGCCTGCTGGTGTGCATTTATATTCCGGACACAACAAAGGAACAATAAGCTGCATAATGAGACACTTAGGGACACAACCAATTGCAGAAGGGACACACTTTCACCCCCCTCTAACACCTCCTTCCTGCAGCCCCCGCTTCACCTTCCCACACCCTTTTAACTAACCCGATGAATCCCCCACATAATAACCAAAAAGAGGGGACGTTCTCATGTTGTGTTAATCCAAACACACAAGAATCAAGCACACATGCTTAAAAACTTCAATGATGAAAAGAAACTTAATCTATTTTTCCCATCATTTCTTTAAGAGAAGAGAAAGTGAGAGTTTTAGCCTGTGAGCTCAACAGGCCACCATTTTTATTACCGTCCTCCACGACACCAGATAGATGATGCCTTCAGGGCCGTATTTACATACGGTATCCATGGAGAAAGGTATTTGGCACCATATGAGGCTCTTAAACACACAAAGAGCAGCGTTAATGGTAAACTAGGTACAATTTGACCAGGAGCTTAAAACAAAAAGGGTCAAATAAATGCAACTCCAAACAGTCTGTGAAATTACATCACTATCACTGGAGTGGGGGGTCCTTCAGTCAAGGGGGAGGTAGCTTTTCCGGTGAGGATACACCAGACTCGTCCGAGGAGGCGTCTGAGTTTCCTTCAAATCTGAGCAGCCATGTTGCTGCTGTGATGTAACCAGCTGTAAAATACCAACTCAAAAGGATGCCGCTCCTGGATTTGGACAACTTTCATTTAATTGTTGTGACTTCAGGATGTAGTTGAAGAAATCTTGGACATGTTGCACACCAGGCACACGTTAAATAACCGGTTTAGAGACTTAAACTGGTGCCGATTTGCAACAACGCAGACACACGAGACAGTTACGTCACATTTACTGGAATTAAATGATTTAAATGTTTAAAACGTCATCAAAGAGATTCATTTATAGACTTACTCCCTCTTAAATCCCAAGAAGAATTTCTTCTTTGTTGCGTTTTATGAGAAAAAAAAAGACCTTCCATAGATTCTGGTAAAATTAGAGTTGGGTTTACTCTAGCATTGTTCACTTTCATGTTTCTTTTTTTATTTGCTGTATTCTTTATTTAGGAAGGTCCCTTTGAGATTAAAAACCTCATTTTGAAGGGAGTCCTGGCCAAGAGGCAGCAAAAGTTACAGTTACAAATGTTTCAGTTACACAGACGTGTCAAGTACTAAATCACAGACGGCAGAATCCGTCTCAGCGGCTCTCCGTCTGGTTTGAAATGTATTCAAGGAGATAAACTCAGTTGATTTACAGTGTTCCTGCAGCCTGCTCCGTGCAGGAGCAGCAGAGTGAACCAAAGCCCAGATCGGTGCGAGCAAACGGAACACCGGATTGTTTACACGCAGAGAATTACACTTCTCCGTGGGATTAAGTTACACATGTAGGTAATCCAAGCATGGCCCCATAAAATAAAGTGTACCAATGTCCCAACCTCCTGGTGTGTGTGTGCATGTGTGTGTGTGCGTGTGTGTGTGTGTGTGTGCATGTGTGTGTGCGTGTGTGTGTGTGTGTGTGTGTGTGCATGTGTGTGTGCGTGTGTAGGATCTCAAAGCACAAAGTCCACCTAAATCGATTCCACTCATGGACTTGAAAGGAAAGCAAGATTCAAGAAGGTTCTGGAGACCCCCCACCGCCGCTCCATTGGGGCCCACAGGGGGCCGAGACTAAGCCATGTTGGGCGATATTATAATTGGGGGAACCTTGAGAGCGAACATAAGCCAGTTATTTGGAGCATATGGATTTTCCCGCTGCTGGGCTCGGAGCCAACATGGCGGCAGGATTCTCCTTCGTTAGTTAATTGGGTCAGATTCTAATTAACGAGGTTGGACACAAAGGTCCAGTTTTCCAGAGCTCTTAATGGCGTTGTGATTTCACACCAAGAGGAAAAAAACAGAATATAAAGATAGTTTTCAAAGAAACATCACCCAGTGTCGTAGAAAATCTGATTGTGAGATAGGATAGAAATGTAAAATATAATAAAAAAAACTGCCCAAATCGGTGAAAGTACAACCACCATGCGTACGGCTCTAATGAGGATCTAGCTGCACACTGGAATGCTATCAGGTCTTCTCCCACTCCTTTTTCATTCATCTGAGCCGAGTAAATCCTGTTCACCCAGTCATTTATATTCTTATTCATGTGTTTGTGTAGGCAACGGGCCACACAGAGAGACGCAAGGATCTCTGAGCTTTTGCAAGAGAAGCCACCTTCCATGTTTCCATCTAATCCTTCAGATGTTAACCCTGCATTAGTGTGTTTGACTTTCTTCTCTAGGTGCCGCCTTTCAGGACCCTACGTCCACGTCTCATCTCTTTCCAAAGCCTTAGAGACCCCCTTTCTGCCGCCTCCTGGGATGCACTCCATGAAAGTGCTCAGGTGACCAGAAAATGAGAGCATTATCACAGACATATGCTTGTAGTGACAGAGGATCAGGCGAGATTAGAGCCCATCACGGCTCAATAAAGCACTAAGCTGGAGAGCAAACCTGAGCTGTGTACCATAAGGCCTCCATCACTCTCTGCTGGTCATTGTTCGACCTTCTGCACACACACACACACACGCACACACACACACACACACACGGTATCTGTGGATCTATGCAGGGTTTCCTTCTGGGGAAAGAGGAATAAAACTGTGTTTTGAGACCAGAGTTCTGCTCTTTGTTATCACAAAGCTCAGTGACTGATTCATTTACACCGCCTGAAACAATTGCATTATCTCAGCTGCAACAAAAACACACAAAGATGGCACGAAACTCCCCTAGGATGTTTATGAGTCACTAAAGACTCCAATAACTTTCCCCTTCTTCTCTAAGGGGCCGTGGATGATCGCATGCTGTGGAAGGCTGCGGGGCGAGGGGAGTGAGGAGGAGGCGTCCAGAAGCAGGAGGATGAAAAGAGTCCAGGAGCTGAATGGGGCTCGGTCAGCAGGCCATCCCATACACTGGCCAGCTCCATGCTGCTAGAACTTCATAAATTACCCCACAATTACCACGGGGGGAAACTCCGAGGTAAGGATAGACAGCCCAAAGGGGCTGAGAGTGAAAGGGGCCAGAGGAGGACCAGTTGTGGAACAGACCATCATCGGGAGGTGAAGGAACCTGGTCCAGATGTTGGCCTTCAGGTTGGTGGAAGTCAAAGAACGACAGCTTCATCATCACCATCTGTGCTTCAACTAAAACAAAATTTTATCGTTTTTCTTAAAACATAAAAATCCGACGAGAGAGGAAATTCAAGTACTCGAGATCTTTAAAGCAAAAATTATTTAAATAAATTAAATTCCCATTAAGAATGTTGAATTTACTGCTTAGTACGTCTCAGACTGTGCGAAAATATTTAAATTATCTCAATAGTTTGTCAAATCAGTCCTTATTCTTTCATCTAAATCATGACAAAGTCAGTTTAAAACTGTAAAAGTCAGAATCACTCCTAACTGTTGAATACTGCAGCAAACATGGAAATAAAAATGAAATTTAAATTCAAACTAAATGCAAATCGGACACCAGAGGAAGGAAATCTAACAGCTTTGTGACTTCCTTTCCCATTTTTACTCGTCTATCATAAAAAACGGTGATGTCTCCTGGTCGTGTGGGCAAATTCATTCATAAAATGTTTAATTCTAAGTTTTGGGAGAAAACTGGCAGAATCAGGATGAGAATGAGTGTTAAAAATATAAAATCTCATTGTTTTATTATTTATTGGTCTCAGAAGTTTCATCACGGATACACATCTGGTTACCCGTCAGAGAAAAGCACAGAATGCTTTATTAAAGTTAGAGAAACTGATCCTGGATCAGATGTATAGTCACTAGTCTTTCCTTTGAGTCCAGATGTCGGTGCATAAAAACAATAAATGTTGCAGAAATGTGACGTTTCAGAGCAAAATGTCACTGAAACTAAAACAGATGTGTGGAAACGTCCGATCAGTCAAATCAACACTAACCTGCTTACTAAGTGTGTGTGTTTGGTATTGAGTCAGTCACACTTTGGAACAGTTGGCAGCTCACGGATGGACGGGGATGGCTTTGTGTCGGCGATCCTGAGTTCTGCTCTCCCCCCCATCCCTGTTATCCGGTTTGATGGGGAACTTCTTTTCCAATAATCTCCCTCCCTAAAGTCCGGGCACGAAACCTGCCTTTCATCAGCACCATTGTCTCAGTCTGTTACCTCCACTTGTGCTCCTTCACCACGGCAACACCCCCCCCACCCCCCACCACCACCACCTCTTTTCACATCCCATCTGTGGGTAGGCCTGCCATGTGTCCATTCATAGCGGCGCCGGCGGCATCGCCACTGTATGAGGAAAGTACATGATGCAGTCCTTTTGTGGAGAGCCCAACCCACGACTAGTCTCCGCTGACCTCAGGGTCACTGCTTTCAGTGAGCTGAACGTTGGTGGCCACTGGCTATCCTCCTTGCCAGTGATTGACGAGCCAATCAGTGGCTTGTGTTCCCCCACATGTTTTGTTGGTATACAACCACTGCAGGATCGAGTCAAGTCATGCTGTTTTGTTAGTATTTGCCCTTTGAATGGATCAGACTAGTTAGTGACACACAATTGACTTCTTTGGACTTTAGCTTAATGTAGTAAAATGCAACTGCAGACAGCTCAGCTGGCACAAAACCAGTGTTTTAGCTGACCTGTGACCAGAGAAATGAGTCGCTTACCCATCACTGCTGAAGTTCAGAACTTCTGCAGTGCACCAAATCACAACACGAGCCGTCTGAAGACACCCTTCAAAGCAAACATTCCAGTTAAACCTTCTGATCGGTGCACTGAGTTCAGTTCGCTACGCTAACTGGTTGAACGTTTCATATGTAAGAAAACCCAGCAGATTACACCGAGTTACTGACTTGTTGTGTCAGTGACTTTATAGCTTTTCCTCCTGCTGAGCAAGCATGTAGCGACCGTGGAGAGGAAAAACTCTTCTGTAACAGGAAGAAACCTGCAGCAGAACCTGGATCAGTATGAGCAGCCATCTGCTGTGACTCACTGAGGGTTTGAGAAGACAGAGAAGGTAAACAACAAATAAACAGATGATCTAGTAGCAGTACTTTCTGTTTAAGAGACAGTCTGTATTTTTCCTGGCGATAGGGGGCAGTAGGTACTTAAATTGTTTCAATCAATCAGTAATTTTGTGTTGGAGTAAGACTTTACCAAGGGATGCCCATTAGGGTCAAAAAGCCCTAGGGAGTGCAAACTTTAGCTAAATAACGAGCACACCAGACTCCCTTTCATCACTGGCAACAAGTGAAGAGGTAAATGTGTAAAACAACAACATTTAAGAATGACAAACGTTTTTTAACTGTTTGTTTCAAATCACTAATTGCATTTTGTCCTCATGGGCTCCTGTAGAAGGAGACTTGGACTCTAATACGGTGTCGCCCAGAGACTTAGACCCACCCCCGTGTATTTTAGACCAGATTTTTTTGATTATATGTTATGGAGCCCGCCAATATTTTTCAACAACCGGGCATCATTTCATTCATTTTCAACAACATTTTGATGGATATTTCCAGAAATTAGTTGGGTAAAAACTACACATTGTCCCTCTAAAGAAAATTAATATCTGGAGAGGTGCCCCGATGCCCCCCCCCCCCCCCCCCCACTCCCACCCCCAGCAGAACCAGTGAAGCTTCTCTGGAGAGAAAAGGTAACCTAAAGTTAACAGCTGAAATATCAGGAAATAATGCATTGGAACTGAGTGGAAGAAGAACGTAGAAGAGTGTCGGTATGTTCTCCAGCAGTCTAAGCCTATAGCAGCATAACTACAGAGATAACTGGTTGGTGTCACTATACAATCAGTGATGATGAAGTTGTTGAATCTTTACTGTCAGGTGTTGCACTTGTCGGACGGTCCCTTAGGTCTTGTCTTTTGTTTGAAACTCTGTTTGTGTTCCAGCTAAGAAAATCCTTTTTGATTGGAGCTTGTTTACTTCTTTGCAAAGGAGGACATGACATTTCTGACAATCTTGAAAAAATCCATAAAATTGTATTCAAACACATCGCTCTTTTATGTCACCACATACCATTTTCACAAGCCACATAAAGGGCTCAGGTGGTTGATTATGGGAACACATTAGGCCCTAAATCTCACATATTTGGATCGGAATGCTGATGAGGAGTTTTGCTCCCGTGGTGCGGCACACATAGACCGTGGAGATCTGCAGAGAGTAAAGAGGATGATGGAGTAAAGAGGGGAGGCATGCAGACATGTTGATGAAAAATGAGTTTTCATGTGATAAATAAAATGCTCAGGTTTAAAAAATAAATTAACATTAAAACTGTATTTGGTGAGGCATGCTATTTAAAATTATGATGAATCTTTGTCAAACAAAGTCTCTTAAGAATAAATGTGACTATTTAAATGTTGTTTCAGTCAAAATGAGCCGCCGTGGTCCTTAAAAAGAGTTTTTTTTTTTTTTCAGTTTTTCTTTGGCTCGCTGGTTAAATTCCCTGTGCCTTTTTAACTGGAGCTGACTAGAAAGCACGTATTTGACCAAATTATGAGGGTTTTCTGTTTTACTGTCTGGCTCTTGTCTTATTGTCCCCAGTCTCATTCCCCGCCAAACTGACACAGACCTTCACAACAAGAGCTTCAGGTAAATTAAGGAAAACATTCATAACAACCTCCAGGCCATGGAGCAAGACTTCTGTACGGCTTTGAGGAGATTCTGGTCCACCATCCGACGTCTCAGGAGGGAAAAGCGACGCACTATGATCAGTGAGGACGGAGTGCTGCTGACATCAACTCAGGCCGTTGTGGATCAGTGAGCGGAGTACTTCAAAGACCTCCTCAGTCTCACCAGCACGTCTTCCAGTGAGGAAGTAGGAACAATCGCTGAGTGGGGCATGATGATGTGAATTTACAGCAAGCATGAATCTGTAATCTCCGGGTCTGCAGCTGTGAACTATTGTGGAATTCACACAAGGGGAGGCGGCATGGACGTAATTTTGGGGGGGGGACAGGGGGGACATGTCCCCCCCACTTTTCCAAAGTCAAGTTTTAACCCCTGCACTTTTTACCATCCAAAAACAATATTACGCTATATTAAATTGACACTGGTTGAGCTCTAGGACCAAGCAGAAAACAACTGTTTGTGTTGAAGCCTGGTTCCCATTAGAACATACTGTATAGATACCCCCCCCCCCCCCCCCCAGTGTCCCCCCCCACTTCTAAAGTGAAAATTACGTCCCATGGGAGGCGGGCTCAATCTAATCCAAGCGTGTTGTTTCCGAGTTGAAGGATAACTGATATTCCATATAAAATGTTTATTTATCATTCATATTTTGCCTGTCTTTGTTCTGGAAGGTGTAAACTAGCACGACACAGTTCCTTTAAACGTTTCAGCGGCCGATATTTGTTTGATACAATAAAAAACGTCATTTCCTGCCTAAAGCCTCTCTGGGTTAGAGTGAATGTTTTCATATTTTGTTTATGTTTATTTGTTTGGCAGACGCTTTTATCCAAAGCGACGTACAATTTTTAACTTGTAGGGCATGTTGTGATCTGTAGGGGAAACCGGAGTACCCGAAGGAAACCCACGCATGCATGGGG